TCGTATGGGTAGAAGCAGGGGTCCCTCTCTTTGCCTGCTCTCTGGGTTCCATGCAGTCCTCACCATCCCTGTGCACCCAGATCCATCTCCTGCTGGCCTGCATGGCTGTCTGGCAGGTCCTCACACCGACTTAGTGTGGAGGCACAAAAATAGCAGCCACAAAAAGGGCTGCTCACCAATGAGAGGAAACATGCTGTATTGCAGATATCTGCAGTTAATCATAGCAGGAGGAGGATGTAAGGCACAAACGTAAGTCAGAAAGACTAGTCATAATGAGTCTGTTACATCAGTATTCCACTAGTGGACTGCTCCTGCATTAGGAAATATTTTTATAACTGAAAATAATTGTGTCCTGTAGTGGCTTAAATACCTCCTCACAGGATTTTACTTAATGAATTCAGGAACAGTTGCAGAGCCTCCAGCTCCACCCTCACATCAGTACACTTAGTTCTACCTCCCAGACTTAACTGGGAGTCCAAGCAGAGTTGCACACGGCATAGTGGGTCAAACTCTTTTTTTGTTTCCTTCTGCCTGTATTCCAGTTGGGAGGGGAATAGACTTCAGTGCCTTAATAAAACTCTATCATTTAAATTGATTTATAAAGCTTTCTGTTGATAGGGAGAACCTTTTCCTTTCTTTCTTTTTAGCTGATATGTCAAAAGGAGTAACTTGGAACTGGTTATTTTACAAGCAGCACACAAAGTGGGAAACTCTGCCCCTGCTGGAAAAAAATACTGATAAGACAAATAATTGTATTCTGTTCACTTTAGGCAAGTTTTTTTTTTCCTTTTACTGTATTCTATACTTGTCACAGAGTTCTATGGTTACATGAATATACTCAGTAATCTTATATGAGGATGGATTTTCTTTTATCCCAAATAGCATGAAAAAGATGTTACTTAAAATATCTTGCATGCTGAGGCTTATTTTTAATGCTCCTATCTATATTCTGGCAATGATGAAGGTAGGACTCTGAATGTTGCTATATGTTTTCTCAGTATGGCAAAATGCTTTTCATGCACTTGTGACAGCTCTTTTTGCAATTAAAGGCATAATGATCTACCAGCATTTATGTGACTGTGCTGTAAAGAGGAATCTGCAATATCATAACAATTGCAGCAGGTGGCAGTAGAACAAGGGCCACAGAAGGGAGAAGACAATCCATTTTCCTTTCAGACTAAAGAGAAGTGAAGGATTTTAAATCTCTGGCTGCTGGCTGGGAAGGGATAGCAGCACTTAAAATGGCAGAAATGCTTGGACAGGGAAGATAGGGGTTTGTTGGAGTTGGATTAGTCATGTAATTGGATTTGTTGAAAGTAAGAGGCACAAGGCAGTCAGTTCTCAAAGCCTGTGGTCTGTGGTCTCAGGGTAGTACAAGCGGGGGGGGGGTTCTTCTAGGATATAACTTCTTCCAGGATTTAAGAAAGTTACAGTGGAGAAGCAAAGGAAATCTCTATACTGACTAGAGATGCAGTACTGAAATTTTGCTTTTTTATATTTTTTCACACTGTGCTATAGAGAAATTCTGTAAATATTAAAATACAACACACTTGTATATTTGTTGTATGCCAGCAATTAACAGCAATTTGAGGCATCTCCTGTAAGGTTTCTGTCCTGATTGAATGTGAAGAAATAAGGAGCTAAACCTTGGTTACTGTTTCTTTCTGCTGTCTTATAAGTCTATCATTGTCCGACAACTTTACCATCTTTTAAAAATCCAAAGTGCTATAATACATGAATGAGTAGTGCCAGGAGTATGCGTTGCATTTTTTTAATATATTTTCTCCTTGCACACCAAGAAGTAGGGCAAAAATTATTTTAAAGAACAATGACATTTTGATTTCAGTGTCTCTCTCAAGTCACAGCAGAGGCTTTGGAAAACAAAGTTTGGCAGTAGCTAATTTTGGTAAAACACAAGCCAAACTATCCCATAAAATGCTGATGGCGATTTACAATGAGTTTGACCAAAAAAAAAAAAGATGTTGTGCTTGTCCCAAGAAATATACAGTCACTCTAAATCATGTGTATATACAGTTAAAATTTATATAATTCCTTGCAGTTCCAGTAAGAAATAAAAGAAATGTTAAATGAAAAGAAGGAGGGGGTTTAATACATAAGAGGGAAGGGAACTTCAAGAATATATGAACAGCATGGGAAAAGCTATGATTATGAGAGTGAGAAGAATACAAAAGGGGCAATCAGAATGGAGGCTTGGGAAGAACATCAGTGTGGGAAAGAGATTAACTGGAGCCCCTAAGGTGAAGTTGAGAACTTAATGAGAAGCATGAATTTTATGTGGGGGAGAAAAGTGAGAGGCTGATGGGGATTCAAAGAACGGAGTAAGACAGAGCAAGAGAAAGGGAAGATTGTTTGAGTAGCAAGGTTCTGAATAGGTTGAAGGGTCTAAAGTGTTAGGAGGACAAGGCAGAGGAGGTTGCAATTTTGTAGGTGAGTCAAAACCTGTTATTTTACATAGTTTTTAGCTGCCAGTCTTTTTACAATGAATCATACAATAGCTGAGAGAAGATCTTAACAGATAACCTGATGTGGCAAATATCTCCTTTTCATGCATATTTGTGATGTATTATATACAGGATAACCTCATGAAGCCAGCACACTCAAGACCAAACACATGCCGGGAATGTGAAAATTCTGGTTTGTTGAAACTGGAGCCGCAGCCGGTCCTGGAGCAGCAGCCGCACGTGGGGCAGTGGCATGGGGAAGTGGGTGGTGGCAGCAGCCGTCGTGTGCAAGCTTACACCTCCACTGCTCCGGGACCGGCTGCCACTACTCCCCAATGGAGTGTAGTTTTAAAAATTGCCAGATTTTCAATAATTCCAGATTTTGAGGTTATACTATACAATATATCTTCAGTGTGAATCTACTATTAAAACACAGTAGGCATTCTATAGTTGGAAATGTGGATCACATTAATCTGTATATTTATTCGTATTTTGTACAAAAATGGAATCTGTGACCTCTCCCTCTGTCAGGTGCTCTTTTTTTGGTCACAGCAAAGTATTTGACAAGACAAATATTTACCAGTAATAACATTGATCATTTTAATAAAAATGCATTGAATTATCAGGATAATTATTCTTGCTGCACTGAAACCCTAGAGTTTCTAGAGCTAATTCTAAAAAAAAATTACATAATCTTTGCCATGGTTTGATGTTTGCCCTGTTTCTAAAATCCAAAGTTTCTTTTAACTATAGAGTCCAAGATACTCTTGTAGGATCTTGATCTTTAGAACTGGCTTCTGGGATGCGGTTGTTTCAGGAGAAGGGACATTTTTCTGATAATGCTAGTCATTTAATCAAAGGTTAGTATTATTTCAAGGAATTAAATGGCAAAGAAATCTAGTCTAGAGATAAGGTCACCACATGGCATATGCAAACTGAGTATGTATAGATAGTAGATTAAATCATGAGGGAAAGCCTATGGGTTAGTATTAGAGAGCTATATTCAAAGCTTATTTTATGGAGGAGTTAATGCACGTTTACCCTAAATAAATGGGAAAACAAGTTTACCTATGTAAACAGCACAAAAGTTTATCTGAACTTTCCTTATCACCTCAGTCTGTTCCTTTCCCAAGGACTTCTTTCGGGTTAGTTGGGTTGAACTCCAAAAAGCAAATGGGGCCATACTACTTCACCCTGCATGAGCCCAACACAGTCTCATCCATTTGAGCAGTCTAACTTCCTTGGATCTGCTGCATTCAGTGACAGTATGTTCTTTCAGGAGGAGGGAGGGCAGGGTTTTGGCTAGTAGGCCAGATTCATCAGTTGTTTAAACCTGGCGTATGCTAGCATAGGCCTTTGCACAAAACCCATTAGTAGAAAATGTGCCCAAAGAAAATAATCACAATTTCCATTGCTTTAGATTGGAAAGGCAGAGAGGCACAGGGGGAGTTGCATTAGAGGACGGTGTTAAATGAATAGGGGATGTGCCTCAGAATAACTGGGAACACTGATTTAGTACAATGCTTCAGTAGCCACTAGTGTAGGTTACAATCTAAAGCTATTTACTGCAATGGGAACCCCAAGGAAATGGTAGTGATTGAACCATTACTTGTCTGCCTTTGAGATGGTGCCTTGTCTAATGGAAGAAATATATTAATAAGGAGATGCTGTTTCATCAATAGATGGGCTTGTATCTATGACCATAGTCATCATTCCAGCCCATTATAATCTGTTTGCAGTACATTTGGGGGATATATATTAAAATATGTGGAGCAAAATGCCATCTGAGAAATCATTCAATAAATATTTGTGACAGCATACAATATTTTTCACTTGATTAAAAATTATGAAACAAAACAAACAAACAAAATTCCAAGTTGATGATCTTGCTAATTATCCACCCAAAGTATTTTTTATTAACCTGAAAATAAGATACACACCATTGGATGTGCTGACACAACCTTATACTGAATGAATGTACATTATAAAGGTCCCTGGTTTGTGGGGTATTACTTTATGTCACTTAAAGAATCACTCTGTTTTCTAGGCTACTGTTCACAAAGGAGTTTCTTGGCGCTGTATTTTTGATGGACAGTGGGTTATTAGGCTGTCCACTTATTTCATGAGAATGTGTACACTTCACATTTACCTGCATGCTTCCAGTTGGAAGCCAGAGCTGCTGAAATATTAATATCTTGTTTTCAAAATCCACTATTTTTAATGCTTGAAAGTTCTCCTTAGGTGTGGTGTGTATAAAGGAGAAGGAAAAGTAGCACATGCAACAAATATATCACGCTCTTTCTCTCTCTCTCTAACTTAAATATATATAAAAGAACTGGGCTCAGTGAGAACCCAGCAAAGAGGCTCTGTACTGGTACTCATGTATAGGCTGTTTTATCTTATTGTCTGGCTTTCATCATAGACTCACATTTCCTACCTGTCACCACAAGGGGTGTCCAGGACACATTATGAACGTGCAGCTTCAGTAACCAAGCTATACAGGGTAGTCTAGCAGTTTAGCCCTGAGTGATTCTGTGAAATTGGAGGAGAGATTCTTGCTGCTGCTCTTCAGGGATTGCTGCTGTTGGAGGAAGGGGGTAGGGGACGACATTTGGAGGTGTGTGTGCATGTGTGAGAAGATGCAGAGTGCATTTGACTGAGGTGTCTGGGCACTGGGAAACACTGCAGGAAGAGAGGCAGAGAGAAGAGGAAGCAAGAATAAGACTGAAGTGCAGAGCAGCTGTTTCTCCTAACACTCTGGTTCTTTTGGGTGCCTCTGTGAATGTGAACATGGATTCTGTCACTGAAAGCTTCTTCAAGCTGCTGTTTCTGTTATCTATTCATGACTGGAACACAGTAGTGGCAGGGAATAAATGTAAGTACTGCAAATGATTTAAAACTCAGAACAAAATGTTTTGAAAACTTCTGGGGTATTTTGGTTGGATCTGGATGAAATATTGCTCTTGAAATATACATGCTTAATGCTTCTGAACTGATGACTGCAAGTAGCTGGGCTGAAACTGTTCCTTTGGCTGAGAAATGTCATTTTCTAAGTTCTAGCATTCATTCTACCTATTTTTTTTACACAAGTCTTTATAGAGAATACTACTGCAAATATTCAAGTTTCAGTATAATCTCTCATTAGCATCGCTCATTACCAAGGAATTGCATGCTCATCCTTCATTTGCATCTTTGTTTCCTATTTTAGAAGTGATGCATTTTAGAAGGAATTATTTCTTAAATGGAAATTGTTGACAGATTTCTACTGTATACAGCATCAGCTTGATTTTTGCCATTTACAGTTTGAAGGCTGGTATCAGGATCTCATGAATTAAGCTGGCACTCAAGTAACTCTGATGCACATAACCGTGCAGTTTAAGAGTAGAGTTAAATGCAACCAGGAAAAATGTTGAGAACAAGATTTTATGGGATGTGCGCTGATTGCTTAGATAATAATGTCTGTGCATGATTAAGAGAAAGAGCACTGTCAGAACCAGGAGAAAGTTTTTGAAAAATTAGTAAATCATAGTTAGTCAGTAAGCTTGAATTTCAAAATAGAAATAGTGATTAAAATACTGAAGAGAATCTGCCCTCTAGAAGAAAGATCTGATATGTGCATTGGGATCTTTGGTTTTGATACTGAATGAGTTATGCTAATTTTTACCCCAAGGAAACTTATCAAAAACTATTTTTGAGACATTTAACCTATTCTGTATTTGTTCTTTGACTGTGCTTTGGCTTTAGTGAACCATAAGGATTTTATTTTGCATACATCTATTAGAATAGTTGCCTAAGCACCAGATGCTCATAGCCTGAAATGAGCAGCATTTTTTTCCCTCGTTGAGGTTCTGGATGTGTGGCATATGAATGAGGAGGGAAGGCATAGTAACTCTGTTTGAAGAAAGTGAATGTTAGTGCCAGTAAGAATATTCAGGAATAACCTTACAGCACTGTAGCAGGGGACCGCTCCTTTGAAACATGTAAGCAATGACAAAGAAGTTTAAGCTGTTGTGTGGTTCTGTATCCTAGGGTTTAGCATATGCATGCTTTGTAAACTAACCATGCTCCCCTGAGTCAGACAGTCACCCTGCAGCACCAAAATGATCTTGTGCTGTCATTCAGTAATGATATCATTTGATACTCAAGTGCATAGAGTAGCCCTAAACATGAATACTAAGTTCCATTTGTAAAACACCTTCCTGCAATCCATCCTCAGCTTTAATTTTCTTCATCATTCTGTATTGTACCGTTTATGAATACATCCACTTGCACAAAAACATGATAATCAAATCACGCATTAATAGCATTTGGCACTATGCACAAAACTAAATCAGATGCTGACAGGGAGGCATATTAAAACCAAGGCAGCAAAATAGGACTTGCAGAGTACAACAAAACAGTAAAGCACTAGAGGTCACTCTTACAATTTAAGAAGCAAGATTCTGGAGAAAACATAATTTTGCTTTCCAGTGCAGAAATATGAAGGATAAAATAAATCAGTTTGAACCACATTTACTACTGCTTCTCGCCAAGAATTTGGAGACAAGCTGAACTATGTTATACTGGCAAATGAGTAACTATGTTAATGGAGTCTTACTTTTGCATTGAAGATGATTTAGACCTATCAATGAGTAGTCAAAGCACTTTTGTGTGAGGTGAAGAAATTGATACTTTATCCATTTTACAGATAGGGAAACTGATGCTTAGAGAAGTCAAATAACTTGTCTAAATGCATGGAAAGAGTCACTTTAGAGTCTGAAATAGAATTTAGGAGATTCTGACGCCTTGACTGTACTTCTCCCTTATTGCTATCTAACACAAGAAAAAAAAAAAGAAATCCCTAAAAGACACGTATTGTTTCATCCGGCTACTTTACTTTATTCCGTCTTAAAGAGAAAGTGCACATCTGAGGTAGGTAGCTCTGCTATGAAGTATGTCTTAAAATATCCCAGGAAGTAGAGGTGTGTCCTTGTATCCAATTATGGCCACCTGTTTTTGCAGATATCATACCCCTGGTTAGCAAATTTACCAGTAACTTCTTCTTCTACTTTACAAGATAACCACAAATCCCTTTCAGCATCTGATACTCCTATCATCATAAATGTATTCAAATAGCTCTGAATAACCATATATAGAAGTTAAAGCTCAGTATTCTATGTATAATTTTCTGGGTTGATATATTAGAGAACAACCTAGAGAAAAAAAAGTAGGATGCTGTTACCATTCTGTGAGTAGATTAATCTGCTTTTCTTTTTTATTTTGTGGTATTACTCTCATACTAAACCATGAGGACATTAGCTCAGTTTTTAGTTTATTCTTACTTAGACAGACTCCCAAAACATAAACAGAAATATGACTGACTAAAATTCTCTGGTTTTTCCTAAAATCTTAATAACTAGTCTTAATTTTTCACAAGTTTGATCATGAAGTAGTATTACCAATTTTCTGCCACAAATTGAACTGTTCTGAGATTTGTCATCTGTCTTTCTTGCTCCAGAGTACTCTTTTGTTTGAGTAAGGAGGTTTTAAAGTGTTTAGGGTACTGGGAATTGAAAAAATCTATAATTTTGACATTGAGACATGAAGTATTTCTGTGCACGTATTTCCAATCTCTCCTAAAGAATAATGGTAAACAGTTTGCTATAATAAGGTAATGATTGTCATTGCAAACACACAAATTTTAAAAATTCTTTGCCAATGCTGATTCACCTTAGTTGCCTTCCAAACTCTTCCCAAAGAATTAAAACTTCATTGCACTTCAACGAAAACTGATCTTCACGCTTGTAAATAAGGATCTACTTATTCCATATAAAAATGTTAGAACAAAAATTATATCAGGATTTCCTGTAAACATTTGTACAACAAAATGTCTTTGTTTGTTTTTTGAAGCTGGTTCTACAACAGGAAATCAGCCAGTCACCAACCAGCCCTTGGCCACTTGCCTGAAAGTAGGGCATAAAACTCTTAATAGATGCTGTACTTCTCGTGCAACCCTCAGAAAATGAAGTGTTGTACATAACATAATTAAACCTCATACACATTTCAACTCAACTGTGGCTGAAGTTATTAAGGCTGATTTGGGCTAAGATTGGAAACAATGCCAACAAATTAAGAAAATCTTACATAAAATCTCTTTGCTGTATACCTGGGAAGAGAGCAAACAGGTTCTTCTGATGCTAATCTCTTTTATCGTCATAAGAAGTTGTGCTTCCTTCTAGGTTCACTGCTCATCTTAGATTTTAACTTTTGTGTGGCAATGACTGCAATTTCTATAAATCAATCAGCTGTTTTTATCTCTGAAACTTCTTTTTTCTTTGAAACTAACACAGAAGGATACAACTTTTTCAAAATTATATTAGCAGATAATATATTAAGGATATCAAGACTTTCCAGGTACAGGATTCAATGATCTGATGCCTTTCTTCACCTCTCTGATTATCTTATCATAAGCTAGGAAATACCTCCAGGGAAGTTATTTCTTACTAGAAGAAAAGTAATTTGGCTTATGTAAATAATGTTATGGAATTTAGTTCTGATATTTATCACTGTTATATGACTGTTTCACCGTCTTGGCTGATTTAGGAAACTTAAAGTAATAAATTTAAAACTTAACTGACTTAACAGGATACTGTTTTATAATAAATTGGAATTAAAAGAAAGATCCTTTAAAGTATCAACTATTAACTGCTATAGACTCTAAAGGGAAGACAACATAGATAGCATTCTGGGGTATTATTTATCATTTGGTTCATTTCCTTTTATTTTTATCCTTTTTGTTCTTTAGCTACATCTTTCAGCACATCTAGACATATGAATCAATGACTGGGGATTCATTGTGGATCTTGCTTATATCGCTAAATCATAGACACATCTATTCTTACTTTCTGAGACTATTTGCTTTTTTTAAAGTACAATAATAACATTAATGTATGTATTAAGATTACAACTCAGCCCCAGATTAAAGGAAGCATTATTCCGAATTTATTTAACTTTTTCATTATCCTGAATTTACATGAAGGTATTTGGTCCATTTCACTGACTGTGATCAATGCTTTGCATCTCAGCCCTCTGGCTTTTAAGATTTAAGCAAATACATTTGGGCTCAGTCAGCAAGATGGACTGAGAGAATGTGGCCTTGATTTCTGGACAGTAACAAGGCATACTGTTCTAAAAGTAGGTTGAAATCAACTGTATAAACAGAATGTAGTATTTCCTATGTAAGGTATAGGGTCATGTTTTTAGGATCTATTGCACCTTTTCCACATGAGACACATTTCTGATTTGCCATTTCAAACCCTAAGGCGACCACTAACTTGTACAAATATCAATGATACCACAATTGCTAAGCACCTAAATATTTCACTTTCTCTCTTTCACATTAAATATAAATACCCATTTTCTCATATGGGTGACTATGATATTTAATCCCAGTATAACTGCGTATCACAAAAAAAATTAGCTATGTAATGATTAAGGATACCTCTATAACACGTATGTATGCGTGTATATGTGAAGGTATTAACCCAGGGTAATATGTCTACATGCTCCCGTATGGGAGTGGCGACGTTCATGAGATACCATTCATGTGATAACTTTGCATATGTACCTTTGGCAAACTCACTTGTATTCTGACTATGAATCCCTTTGGCAGGACTCCTAATAACAAACAAAATTGAAGAGTGGCTGCTAACAGCCCTAGATGAAATATTAAATAAATAAATAAATAACCCCTTTTAGAGAAACGTTCCTTTCTTTCCAATGTTGCTTTCCTCCAAAACTATGATGCTCCCCCATCGGGAGAAAATATAGTGTATGCTGTCTCTCAGAAGTTGGACCTTTGCTCTATATGCTAATTAAGATTCCACCCATCGTCCT